TTCCAAGAGTAAAGGGCAAAATTCAAAATATAGTTTTCCTGGCTGTGACTAGATTTTTTTAAAAATTTTTCTGCCTAGTGATTGGAATCCGCTCTTCATGTAGCAGTGGGAATTGCATCTACTTTATGAAAACTAGGCTGAAGCAAAGTCCAAGACCAAGTTTCCTAGAGCCCACAACAGAGGAGAGCAAAAATAACCTATTTAAACTTTAGATCCTGAATCCAACAGAAAATTTACTGTTTTATAGTAATTAATAAAGAAGCTATATTTTGAGTTAAAGAATTTCTCTGTGAACCAGAAATTCTCACCAGGACCTAAAAGGTCAATAAGGCTGTCTTTGCTAATGAAGAAACTCAGGAGACATCAATGAATTATTACTGCACTCTCGTGATCAGTCACGGGTGTATACTGGAATCAGGGAACTTTTCAAAAGTAGGGTCAAAGTTGCTCTAACATGGTGGTATTGTTGTAGTAACTAACCTTTAAGTCCCCATATAAAGTGGGGGGAGTTAGTGTGCAAAGTTCTAGGAAGATGGCCTGGTTGAGTGCTTTCTGATCCCCAGTGGCTTAGGAACTTTTCTCATGTTGGCATATACTTTCTCTGACCCACTTTGTTACCCATAGTGTTGGTGACTAGGTCTTAATTCTATCTAAATTCAGACACAATGTTAATCTTGCTAGCAAAACTTGCTCAAGGTTATGGGGGGGTGTGTGGAAAAGTCCATGTTGAAATATATGTGAAAAACTATGTGAAAATTATGTGTATACACACACACACACACACACACACATACACACACATACACATAAACAGAATAGTTCATGAAAATCCTCATTTTGGTGCGCTTAGTACAAGCTACATAAATAGCAAGAACTTTGGCCATAAAGTCAAAGGAGGAAGAGGGTGGCATTCTGGAAACCAGAGACACTGTGAGATTCTTGATTGAACCCCTTCCAATCTAGGTATTACCCCTTTACGTTTACTAGCCTCTTCCAAGACAACCCCAGATCTTCCAAGTGTGTTTCTCTTTTAAAACTCAGCTTAGGCACCCGTTATGCCTCTGGGTAACCGTTTCTGGCCATCTCTCTGCAGTCAAGATGTCCTTCCCATTGTAAGCTCTAGACACCTTATAGTTAGTCTTTGTGTCATAATTACACCTTGAGAATATTTCCACTGCTATACTCTTTATGGGCTCAGAGCTCTGTTGTGTCCCCAAAGCCTAGCGGAGTCTCTTGCCAAGGGTAGGCACCAGCAATGGGTATTGAATGAGTGGATTCTAGTCTGAGTGTCCCTTACCCCTAAAATCTCATACATGCCACACCAGATCTCCTCTTTCTGGTTTCTTGCACAGGTACATTCAACGCTTTCCTTCCACAGAAAGTGTCAGCCAGCCCTGATAATCACACTCCATATACACCCACAGAGAGATAGGAACTTGAATTTTAATGCACATGTTATTTTTCCCGTATTGTTTCTAGTTAGTGACTAAAACACATTACTGTGTTACTACTGGTAGCCGCACATTGATTCCTTACATTTTCATTATTATCATTACATTACAACACCCCATCCCCAAAATTTTCTTAATTTTTTTTACTCTGAGAACAACAACATTAAGTAATTAGAATTTTTTTTAATCTTTTTTTCTTTTTTAAAATTTTTATTTATTTATTTTTAACTTTTTTATTTATTTGACAGACAGAGAGCACAAGTAGGCATAAAGGCAGGCAGAGAGAGGAAGGAAAGCAAGCAGGCTCCCTGCTGAGCAGAGAGCCTGATGCGGGTTTCGATACCAGGACCCCGGGATCAAGACCTGAGCCAAAGGCAGAGGCTTTAATGCACTGAGCCACCCAGGTGCCCCAGGTAATTAGAATTTTTTATGCTTCTCTCTACCAAAAAGGTGACTTTGCACATCTCTTGTCACAGGAAGGTCTACTAGATTGGCTGAGAATATCAAGGAAATTTGTTTTTTTTTTTTAGTATGGAAAGAATTTCATATTCTGTCATCTGTACATCTTATATTACACGATTATCAGGTATAAAGATTTCTTATGTTTAAAAAGATACATTTAATCTGTCTCAAAGTAGAGAGACATTTGTTATTACTGTTTTTTTTTTAAATCTACATGTACAAAAAAAAAAATAGAAGAATCACTGGTGATTTCTCAACATGAAGTAAACCTTGCCAGGGCAAACATGCATTTGCTAGGATCCACCTGCTTTGGAAGATCTGACCCCTGGGGACTCTACCCTGCCCTGAAGAGGAGATGTTAGTGGGGAAAACAGAGCAGTCTCAGCAGCTCGTGGGTCACCGAGAAGGTGTGGCTTTCAATCTAGTAATTCCCAATTCTAGTCTGGGTCTATACAAAAATACTTGGACTTCCAAAGAGAACTTGGAATTTCTCCAGACTTCCTGGAAGTTAAGTGGAAACTGAAACAGTTTTAGACACGCAGGCAATACTGTTCAGTCTCCGTGGCTTGTTTCAATGCTCCTCAGCAGGGAGGCCATTGCCAGAGTCCAAGGAGGTAGAAGAGGCTTGTGGAAAAAGCCATTGTGCAAGCATTGCCCTGGGTACAGTTTACCTAACAGCTGGCATTGTATTGGAAGAGACCATCGCAGTAGGGGAAATTAAATGTTTTATTAATGAAATCTCATGTTTTTTTTTTTAATTCATAATATTTTATATTGTGAAAACATATCATATAATCTGTACTCTGGCCATGCCAAATATAACATGAGTCTTCAACAAAAAGTTCTAAAATTCTTTAAGAGATTTTTGAACAAATCTCTTTGAAAAACTTCAAAGGCCATTTTATTCTTAGGTGGTATGACTTGACTTGGCCCAGAATGATTTTGATGATAGTTCATTTTAACTGATACTATAATACTCTTTAAATAAATTCCCAATATGCATTCACATGCTTATATACAGCCATATACATTTCAAAATTTATGAAATGTTTCACACGTAGCAATGTGCATATAACACATATGGGTGGATTTGTAAACAATAAAAAGCTAATCAGGGTAGCCTTGAACCAAGAGATAAAATCTTACCAATATCTGAAGCCTTATTTTGCTTTCATCTGATCATAAACATCAGTGATTTTTTTTTTTTAACCTCTCTCCCAGTCCTCAAGGTAAAAAATATCCCTATTGTCCTGTATTTCTTTGTAGTTTTCTCACATACAGTACGTTCTTACTCGTACGTGTTACCAACTTTATGTATGTGGAATTACCATGTGGGTCCTAATATGATTTGCATTTTCACTCAATATTAATAATCTTGTTGATGTGTAGAGTTAACTTCTTCAGTATAGCATAATATACCCATTTGTTCTCCTTCACTAGATATTTACATTATTTCCATTTTTTTAAATTAAAAACTATATAGGTATGAGCATTTGGCCGGGGGGGGGGCGTGGTGGGGGCAGGTGGCAGAAGGAGAGGGAGAGAGAATCTTAAACAGGGAATTCATTAATCTGAAACAGAGAATCTTAAATCTCACGCCCCTGAGGACATGACCTGAGACAAAATCAAAAGTCGGACACTGAGCTGACTGGGCTACCCAGGTACCCCATCAGCATTTTTATATATGTTCCCTAAAACGTATGTACTGAGATTTTAAAGGACACTGTTTTTCAAACTGTGAGCTGTGACCCATTAGTAGGTTATGAAATCAGTTCACTGAGTTAAAACCAGTATTTTTAAAAACTGACTTCTAATAGAACAGAAAATATCCAAATATCCATTTTTAACTTATAGTAAGAATTAGTATGGGCACCTAGGTGGCTCAGCCAGGTAAGAGGCTGCCTTCCGCTCAGGTCATGATCCCAGGGTCCTGGGATCGACTCCCACATCAGGCTCCTTGCTCAGCAGGGAGTCTCCTCATCTCTCTACTATCCCCCGCCCCCCATGATCTCTCTCTCTCAAATAAATAAATAATATCTTTTTTAAAAAATTAGTTTTATTTTCTAAAAGTTTTGTTTGTGTTTTATATATGTGTGTGGTGTATATTTTTATTGTGGATTGTGATAAATATATTTTATATATATTATATATTTATAATATGTATATTATTATATTTGTATATATTTTTTTTGTCAGAAAATTAGCCTTTTCACGAGCAGTCTTCAAGTTCTCATTGTGCCATATCTGTAGCCCTTGTTACAGGAGACTTCTTCATTTTTCCTGATGTGGGGAATGCAAAAGGGCATGCCCTTGGGATTCTGGACAGGCAGACGGTGGTTACCCACAGCGTCCAGCTAATATGCGAGGCCCTCGGGATTTCCTCTTTAGGAGAAGTGCTTCTTCCTGACTTATCCCCATTTTTCTTTTTGGTTCTTTGTATTTCTGCTTATAAATTTCACATATCTGTTATAATGTTACATGTTCTAAAATTAAAGTATCTTCTCCCAAACTATGGATAGGTTTTTCACTTTGTCTCTGTTATCCTTACATTAACAAAATTGTTAATGTTCATGGAGTTCCTACCAGTCAATCCTTTCCTTTAACCATGTGTTTCCCTACTCGGCATCATAAAGCTAGCTCCGTATATTTTCCTATTATTTCTGAAGTGTTCATATTTTATCCAGACACGTTAGCTGTTTTGACATAACAGTTATTTCCTCTGTAAATTTCTTGCTTTGTTTCTAGTTCTTGTTTCCTTTACTTATTGCTCTGAGTATGGTGTTCAGTGCCAGCAATGCTGCCTCTGTCCTAACTCTAATGAGAAGGCTTTCAGATATTTAGTTACATATCATGTTGTTATAGGGGGCTTGTAGGTATTTTGTATTGGATAAAGTAGGTACTCTTCTATTTTTTTATGGTTTTTGTTTTTGTTTTTCTGTTTGTTTTACAAAATTTATTCTTAAATGTACAACAGGATCTAAGGCAACACTTCATGCTAACAATAGGGGACGACAGATGACAGGGAATCCAGATGTTCACACAGGAATGGAATTAAGGATCGCCATTGGCTCAGGCACAAGGAACAGCTTACTTTTTGCCAGAGTTCTTAATTCCACCAGTGACCAGGGGACCCTTCCCTGTAGCCATCATGTTTAGCTTCTCAAGTTCCTTTTGCTCCTCTTTCTGTTTCTGCTTGAATGACTTATCTTCACCGTCCGTCCCCTTGGCTTGCTTCTTGGGCTGCTGCAGTGGTTTCTTACCATTTTCACAGCCAGGCATGGCACCTGCTGTCCTTTTCCCTACTCTTCCACTTATAGTTGTTGTTGTTATTGTTTTTAACAGATTTAGGGACCCCTGCATGGCTCAGTCAGTTCAGCGTCTGCTTTTGGCTCAGGTCATTATCCAAGAGTCCTGGGATCGAGCCCTGTGTGGGGCTCCCTGCTCAGTGGGGAGTCTGCTTCTCCCTCTCACTTTGCTTCTCCTGCTTGTGCTCTCTGTCTCTCTCTCTGTCAAATAAATAAATAAAATCTTTTAAAAATTAAAAAAAAAAACAGATTTAGTTATGAATAGATATTAAATCTTATTGAATAGCTTTCTGCATCTAGTGACATAAAGATATATTTTTCCCATCTTTAACCTATTTATATGAGAGACAACTTACATATTTTCTGTATGCCAATATTTAGTATATTTCTATATTTCTACCTTTTTGAGAGAAAATAAACTTGGGTATAAAGTATTTTCTGAATTGTTTTAATGTTTTATTACTATTTTGTTTTAAATGCTTAAATTTATATTCATGAGTGAGATTGGGCTATAATTTTCAATGAAGAGTGATCCTGGAGTTGAGTTCTGAAGACTTTTTATATCAAGAGTAGGAGGGAGGGGAAACTTTTCCAGGGTGAAGGAAATATTGACTATTACTGGGAAATAAGTGCCTATTTTTTGAAATGGTATTTTTAAGTGTCTTCACCCTAAATATTAACTTCAGAAACTTATGAACACTTATATAATAATATGGGATTTATGAGTTAGGAATCAGGCAAACTGCCTTTGAATCCTGACTCCATCACTAACTGATTCTCTGTGCTTGATATATATATTTATTTATTTGTTCTGATCTTAGCCTCAGCTACCTTTTCGGAAATAGGGACATAATAACTATGTCGACCTTATAGAAATGTTTTAAAATGAAATCCCTCATACATATGAAGACCTAACATAGTAACTGGCTTATAGTTGGCACTCAGTAAGTATTAGCTGCTTCTATTATGTTTTATTTTTTAAAGATTTTATTTATTTAGAGAGAGCAAGTGAGGCAGGAGAAGGGGCAGAGAGAGAGGGAGACACAGTATATCAAGCAGACTCCACGCTGAACATGGAGCCTGATGGTGACTTGATCTCATGACCATGAGATCACGACCTGAGCTGAAATCAAGAGCCAGATGCTTAACTGACTAAGGCAAACTAGGCACCCTTCCTTCTATTATATTAATTTAAATGATATTTTATTTAATATTATATAAATATGTATATTTTAAATATGTTTAAATATTTAAATGTAATATAATATATAAATAAATATAAATATTATATACTTAATATTTAAATTATATTTTAATCACGAGTGACCCAAGACACCTTGTTTTTTTTTTTTTTTTTTTTTAAATTTTATTTTTTATAAA